CAAGACTTTCTCTAGGTACTAAGGTGCAATGGCTTTACCAGTAATCATAGCTTGGAAAGTTCTACTGTGATCGTGGCGCAGGGTCTTCCCTCATCACCAAGATTTGGGGGTGCCCCTAGTAAAGTAGTGCAGAGCCTTCACTTGCTCAGGGGACATGGCATAGTACCTGTCCAGTAGCCAAGCTTTAGGGCCTTTCCTAGATGCCATGATTTGGGACAATCCCTGTTTTCACAGTGCTTTGTGAACTAACTAACTGCTATTGTTTATTTCTGCAGCTTGTGATTTCTTTCATTAGGGTACCCAATGCTATGTGGCTGCCTAAACTTAAAGACTCCAGTGGTCTGAGACTGTATATATTTCTCCAAGAGTTTCAACGCTGCCTCCTGCCCCAAGTTTAATCTGTGCCTGACCTTCTGCATACTCTCATAAACATCCTGCCTTGACCAATAGATATACATATGAGGGTAGTTTTAGACATGGCTATGAGCTGTGCCAGGCAAACAAAAGTTTCCGCAGAGCAAATCTGTGTGCATAACCTGGTATAACAAGCGCCATTCATCACTTTCAAGACAATATTCACATATGATGCAGGTAAGCACATAGACCATGTACAGGGTCAAATCTACCTGACAAGGCTTAACACACATCTAAACAAGTTGTTATATGACAACACTGGAACGGTAGATGAGACTATGGTTGTGTGCCTTTCCTTTTTGTCCTATCTCTTCTATTCTATTTCAGTAGCTAATGCAGACACTAACTCATTAAGAGTTCCAGCTTGTGTGCAAAGGATGATGGCATTTAATATGAAGTATTCCATGTGACTATGTATGGCAGAGTTTTAAAATAACTTTAGTTGTTGGATAAATATGACGTTCAAGCTCAGAAGGTGGTATATAACATTGCTATAGATGGTATGAGGCATGCTCAGGATTTGTATGTAGACTGTTCAATTGAACAATATTCTCAATCTAGCACTATACCAGCGACAAACACTAAAGGGCACCAACAGACTGGACAAGTCAATGATGCCTTATTGGGGTTCCAATGTCTGCGATGGGCATGGTTCTGCTGTGCATTTTGATTGGCTGAAACATGCATGGATGTTAGGCAGGGGTTGGGTCATCTTAGGGTTCATTAGGCTGTGCCAGATCCCTGATGACCAACCTGACTTGGCAGCACGGGGTAAATGATTGGGCAGAGAGGAACCCCAACTCTAGAAAGGTTTGCTTCCATTGGGGGGGAGTGGAACTTTTTATGTCTGGGCAGTGGATGCTTTTTTTTTTATGCTTTCAGTTTCTAATCAGAAATTACTTTACGTAAACTTGTCACAAATGAAATACAAGGCTGCCATTGTTGACCTCTTAATGTGCTATCGTGCTATCTGTGTGTCAGGCTGCTCCTCTGGCTTCCGAAATTTGAGTCATTAACCTGCAAAAGTATCTTGATCAGGACGTTTAAAAAACAAGAAAGAAAACCTTATCTGCCTACCTATTCCAGAACACTATGGATAACACTGGTCCATCAAGCCAGCAGGCAAGCAGCATTTTCAGAAGGAGAGCAAAGCAACATTAGCCTCTATGTTTCTCCTGGGGGCAGGTATCCTTTAAACAGTACATAGCACATGGACATGTTGATGTCAATACACGACTTGGTAGAATCTGGTAAACACTGGAATGTAGAAATAATTTCATTTACCCGACATTCTACTGTAAAGATAAAAAATATACAGTCTAAATATAAAAACATTCACAAGCTTATCCAAACTTCAAATAAACATGAAAACAAAAGGTAACACATGAGACTAAAATGCAGAGTAAAGTACTTAAATTTACACGGAATAAAATAATACAAGGAAAATGTCTATTCTACACCAACCTGCAGGAAAACTAAAATACTTAGAATTTAGGAGTATTTAAGGGTCACATAGGTGTTTGAGGTTCATAACATAATACTTGATCACAGCAGCAGTTCCAGAACAATGAGATGGGGCTGAAAATCCAGCCAAAATAAGGAAAAGAGGCTTTCCAAACCGTTTTCGGTTTTCTCCTAGACTGTGTGCTTGTTTAATTTAATCTGTAGGAAGTGGCCATATTTTCTGAGCTTGTAGTCCCTGTAGTCCCTGTGTGGTCATGACCCCACCTCCTGATATATGACTGAGTTCTGCACATTGCCTAATCACAACCGTCCCCCTTCAAAGTCCTAAATTCACAGTTTATCAAATTGTAGGTCTTTAATCCGACCCACAAGAGAGGTTGAGATATAACTTGAGATGCACTATATGACCAAAGTTTTGTGAACACCTGACCACCACAACTTGTTGGACATCCCATTCCAAGACTATGGTCGTTAATATGGAGTCGGTTCCCCTTTGCAGCTATAACAGCCTCCACTCTTCTGGGAGGGGTTCCACAAGATTTTGGAGTGTGTCTGCAGGCATGCCATAGAGCCTTTGTGATGTCAGATAAAAAGACTTGGCTCACAATCAGCGTTGCAATTCATTCCAAAGGTGTTCAGTAGGGTTAAGGTCAGGGCTCTGTGCAGGACACTTGAGCTCCTCCACACCAAACCATGTCATGTTATGAGACAAGTAATAACTTCTGTGAGGTGCCAAGGGAACAGGAAGTCAGGGGAAATTTCCTCAATGGAGACACAGACAGCAAAAAAAAAACCTGACAGGTAATGCAATTACCCCCATTATTACCAAAACTAAAATAAAGTTTTCCCAGCAGCTAGTTTTTAAAGTGTATGTAACTACTATCAATGAACTTCTCCTATTTACTCCCTTTAGTCTGTTAAATATACCACTGAAAGCGTTTTGTTGTATCTGTTTGATAAGTGCACAGATGTACCCGCTAATCCCACCAGAAATGTTGTCAGCTGTTAATTTCCTGTGCTGACTGTAATCAGTTAGACTTGATGCCAGTTATCTGTGAAGACTGCAAAACCCCTCCCCTCTATCTGTCCAGATTCTGGTTTTCTGATATAGTAACGTGAGTGAGAATTGTTACTAGCAGGATCACCAATTGAAAATAAAGGGGGAAAAAAAGAAAACTAATGCAGCCACCATATCTGTGGACAGGCACACTGCAATGTCTCACATTTTTATTCCTGGGTTTAATGACACTTTTATCCCATTCAAACTTGGAATGAATTTCAAGATGAGAGCTTTCCTTCTTACATGTGATTTCTTTAATATCAAGAAACCCCTTCATACCAAATTCAACAAATTAAGAATAACTGTTGAGAGGATTGTTGTAAAGTAATCAGCACGTCATTAATTAATGTGCTAATTGGTGAAATCAGAGACTCAAAGGATGCAGCAATCCTTATTGCTACATTAGACATGATGAGTAATAACATGATTTAATTAAGTGAATCCTATCACCCCCTGTGACAATCTATTATCACCCATGGCTTCTTCTTCCAATCAAGCCATGCATGCATTCTGCAGGATGCCCATCAGGGGGCGCTACGCAACAGAGCAGTGAGTGAATTATTGCCTACTACCGTATTTTACCTTTCCATTCTCAGCTTATTGCCTAATTCAATCAAAATACTTTCAGCATAAACATAATTAAAGAATAATTCCAGTCAAACTTAAAGGGAGAGATGTACACTGCAAGCTGGTCAGCTAGCCAAGACGTGTGGATGACATTCTGACATTTTAACAATAATAAAATTTCATGGGAATGAATAATACATAGCTGAACTGAAGTGTTGGCGTCTGAAAACAAATACTTTTTCCCATGTATCAAACAATTATATCTCCTCGCTGGCCAGGAAACACCTTGGAATTCCCCAGGAAAAACTGGAGCCCGTGTATAGTAAATGAGAGTCTAGGCTGGCTTGTTTAGTTGCTTCCCCTGAAACCTGTACATGACTTATACACTGGAAAAGGAAGAATACTGTTCATAAATACAATACTGGAGAGCAGTTTTGATGCATGGACATTTAATTGCACTGTTGGTTGTTAACGCAGCTGTAGTGGTGCATTGCTAGATATTGACCAGTTCCTTTAAGATATCAGTTGCTGTCTGAAACCAGTGGCCGCCTATCTTGATTGCAATGACTCAATGGTGATGATGGTGCAATCCTGTCATTGGGTTTTAAGTAAGAAATAACAGGAGAGGATATCCCCCAAGAGAGGACTCTTTAATGACTAATTAACGTCATTAAAGAGTCCATCCATTCTAGTGAATGGAGGCTGTGTTTTTTAGGTAATGGGACAACCCGCAAGAAGACTGCCAGCACAAGGAATGAGCGACAGGTACACTTTAAGAGTTTATATACAGTATGTTTGCAAAACAACTGATAAGGTAAGCACAAAGCACTCGTTGGCATTGGTCAGGGTCTGGGTTGGGCAGGGAGGTCATCCCAAACCCCAGCATGGCTGTGACAGGGAGAAATAGGCTGAAAGGAAATTTCTTCTGTAGGATAGTGTTAATGCGATATGTTGGGCTGGTGGCCCTGAGTGGAGATACTCCTCTATTCTGACCCCCTCTGATCAATTACACATTCCAAGGCATTATACAGCTACCTCCTCCATGTTCATACCTGCAAAGTCTTCCAGCACCAAGTGCCTTGGAAGCTCTGAGATGTCATGTGACCGAACACCGAGAGTCGTAGAAAGATGTGTTACAATAAACCTAGAGGAACATCAACCTTTCACCATGCCCACCCATCAATGTGTCAGACTTTGTCAAGTACACTTTCTTTAGTCCACAGAATACCAGGAGAGGGCTAGTTGGTCCCCTAGGCCAAAGATCCCCAGTCCCCCCCGCCCCCCCCGTGCTATCATCTGCATTTCACTTCAGCTATTGAGCTCTCCATAAATTCTTATGGAGAATCCACAACAAGGAGCAAGACATATACATAATGTACTGGATACAGATACAGGTGATAGAAGCGGATCAGCTGAAAAGCCGTGTCAGAGCCATGCTAAGGGTTAAAGGAGGTCTCCCAATAAGGTTTGAGATAGCAGTAGAAACCATCTGGAACATCAATGCTTGCCCTCTCTACCCGACATGGAGTAGTCCGTTATTTTTCATGTGATTTCTCCCCCTCTACTTGTACCAGCATTGTAATCGATCTGTTCGGTGCCTGCAGGCTTGCGTACAGTGCACACTGAACTCCTTGTCATGGAATCGTCCTATTCACATAGTATACAGTGGTTATGGCTCTGGCGTGCTCCGTGCGCCATCCGTAGGCGTATCGTTATCGTGCCTCCCTCTCCGCACTTGCTGATCTTGCTCCCTCCTCCGGAGTCTCTCCTTCTGTTTCCCCATTTTTTCATTGACTTTCCGGAACTTCTCAACTGTCACTTTCATGTCTTTGATCTTTTTTCTAATGAGCGCTCTGTCCTGAGAATTTACGCCAAGGGTCTAGAGAGAAAGGAGAGATGATAATAAAGGAGCATTACAATTCTCAATCTCAAGTTATGAATAGGAGGTCAGACTGTCTACCTATTTCCAATGGGCTGTGAGGATGTCCATCCCGCTGATAACATCAGAAGTATAAACTTGGATTTGTAAAGTGAATATCAGTGCATTAAGAGACTTTACTGGGAATGATGACCCACACCTACTCTACGACTGGATGGATTAGTAATAACCACAGCAGCCTGTTTAAATTGTTTACTCTATTGAATGTGATTTGTTCCCTGAACCCCTTCTGTTTTCTGTTCGTTAGGCTTGCCCTCTAGTTATACACTCCCAGCCTTCCGATTCTCCAAGTTAGTTTCATGTTTACATTTGTCCTGTAAAGTGGTCCTTTTAGAGAGTCAGGAGGCTCCAAAATATATTTTTCACCTCTCATTTAAATCCAGAAAGCATCCTTTGTAACCTGCCAGCCTGAAATAAACTACACTGGATTTCACTCAGTTTTCTTGTTGTGTTGACACTGCCTGTGGATCTTGTTGAGTTAGCAAGTTGCCATACTGCTCACACAGAGTGGGTCTCGGGAGGTATGTTTTTTGTATAAGGCGCCATTTGAGATAGAAAACGAGCGCTGCAGTCAAAGGGCAGTGCGATTTAACAGTTTGCACTTGCAAATTGCTTTTATAGGTTACAAATATTGTATATTACTTGGTATGTTACAATGCCGGGCCAGTTTAATAATTGTGTGAACCAACCTGACACAAGAAATTGAATCTATGCAACACTTCCACTTCCATTCCGTTAAAGGGAATACTATTCTGAAGGGTTGGGTGAGGAGAGTTTTAGAACTGCAAGTGTAGATTAAACCTTCGCCATTTGTGATATCTTGTCTGGATTTGTATGGCTTGAAGCTGAATTCCAGGAACATACAAACATATGTATAAAATGCATAATGAATGCATAAAAAATAATTGAATGTAAATAAATGTATTTTAAATGCAACTAGTGTACCTCAATTTGACGTGGAATTTTTATAATCCCCTGTACAACAGAACATAGGTTAAGAGAGGGAGTGGCAGCATTAGGAATCAGACAGATGATCTGCAGCATATGTGGGGGAGAGCAGAGAGATACAGGGGTGAGCTAATTGGTGCGCAGCTGCTCTTTCGCTGTCCAGTGACAGCCTAGGGGCGGGGAGGTGACCAAGCTGCGGTGTTTAACTGCAGCAGAAAACAGGGTCATCAATTTGGCAGTTCCATACGGATGGGTGGTTTATATCTCAAAAATAAAAGAACAGTATACCAAATCCTTTGCCGGGTAAAACAGTGTATTTTGCAGTTAGCCTGGAGCTCAGCTTTATTGGTTTTTAAGTGTAGCAAGGTGTAGGTCGGGTGTTCTCATTTTTCATGATCAGGGTAATAACACAGTATGTATCCCTCCAGATAGTATACAAGTATGTTAGGGGTAATTTCATGTTATATATCTATTCCCTATGAAAATCCAAAATTGATTCCTCTGCTTTTGTAACATAACAAAATGTGGTACCCAAAAATATTCCCTGTGATCTGTGTCAGCCTCTACAGTAAGGCCAGTTTCACATAGGCTGATCAGGAGGGGATCTGTGCAGGTAGAGATCAGATGTCACAGTCGTGACATCCATATCCGTCCAGGTCTTTTGCCTCCATCTTGTAATGGAGGAACGATTGAAAGCTGCCAGACCCCGTGTCGGTCTGTGGGGAGTCAGATATAGTTGGGCATCTGTCAGTTTATATCAGATTGACCCCAATCTGGCATGAACAGGTCCAGTGAAAAAAAACCCTCTGTTCTGTTTGTTTTTCCGGACCTGGCCAGAATCGGGGGTAACCTGATTGGACTGCCTGTGTGAAAGGGGCCTTATTATGTTTTGTACTAAAAGGACTACATAGTGGTTCTGTACAGATTTTATTTAGTATAAATCAGGAAAAAAAAAATACTAGTTGGATTTTGATAAAAAAATTAAAATATTTTAACTAGGCAATATGAATATAAGAACTAGGAACAGATATAATAGGTCAAAAGGAAATACTGCATGCGTTGATTTGTTTTACCCAGTAGGTAGAGTTTTAGCCCCTTTTTCCCTTCCAGGGACTGCAGAGCAGTATGTTGTAAACCTGTTTACAGAGCTCTGTAGCTCAAACTGCAGCTTACACACAAAACTGAATGACTCATCCTGATGCCTGATCATGACCTGGCTTATCAGATGGCTCAGTCTGTAGTTTCAATCAGACAAAACTAGCTGCAAGGATGGCTACTACTCTTGTACTGAGTGTATATATAAACCATACTGCATTCCCAGTCAGCAATAGGAGATGAAAGTAAGTATTGTGACCGTGTGGCGTGCAGCCCGTAAACAGACGATCCCAGGAGGGACAGGTGCTGCGTGTGATTATGCATAGCAGCCTTCTCTTCCCTATAGGTGGACGCGGCTGTGCGGTGTCCTACGGAAACCCGAACTGCACATCCGTGCGGGTCCAGGTGTCCGAAGTTGGCCGCATACAGCATCTATCCTGTCTGCGTCCAAGTGCCGACACTCATACCTGCATGGATGACAGCGTACAGCTATGCCTCCCATACGGAAGAACAGGCTGCTGTGCGCAATCACACGCAGCACATGTCCCTCCCTGGATCGGCTGTTTACTGAGGTGTACACCCAGTGTGAATGAGGTCTTAGCATTGTGATGCAGTCAACTTAACAATGTAACAGTATTACTACTCTTTACTGTGTTTTCATAATGAGTGCTGAGATGTCACCATGAGTATTAAGAGGCAACAGTGATCTAAGTGAGGTCAAAGTAAAAATTGTGATGTCATATACCATACTGTGATTCTACAAATAATTGAATTATACATTTTTAGTTGGTGTGAGTTCATAATTTCTATTGTGATGCCATTTTTCACAGCATGTTAATGTGAGTCATTACTGGGATGTGAAAACCAAGATTGCTATGTTTCTGGTGGTAGTTCATTATGTAGTTAAATCCAAAAGGTTTCTTACCTTGAGCTTGCTACTGTCTAGCTGGAGAAGTTGTTCTCCGTCGATATTGTGTGCCGTGAATTCAGTTACACAGTGTTCTAGGTGAAGACTCATTAGCCAGTTAGTTACTTGCTGTGTGCTCCACTCAAACGGACTGCGGGGACTGTGTTTGGGAGACTGGCCATCATCAAGGATCTGAAAGAAAGGATAGGTAATGAGCTTTGGGATTTTTTGATATCCTGGAACGTTTTGATGGGCTATATTAATAATGGTCTACAAGATACAAGAGGTTGAGCATGACATAAGAAAAAGAAATACTTACATTTTTATACCACAAAACTTGAGAATGGGCATTAGAATGGATGACTGGGGGTATGCTGGACATAAGAGTTGAAGGCAGAATGTTGGACATTGGGATGGATGATGGAGCAGTATGCAGGACATTAGAATGAATGATTGAGAAGTATGCTGGATATTAGAATAGATAATAGAACCATATGCTGGACAATATATTGGATAATGTAGCAGTATGCTGGACATTAGAGTGCAAGATGGGACAGTATGCTGGGCATTATAGTGGAAGATTGAGCATTACGCTGGACACTAGGATGAATGATGGAGCAGTATGCTGGGCATTAGAGTGAATGATGGAGCAGTACATTGGGCATTAGAGTGAATGATGGAGCAGTTTTGGACATTAGACCGGATAATGGATCAGTATGCTGAACAATTAGAGTGGATGATGGAGCATATAGTTGACATTAGTTATGATGATGGAGCGGTTTGCTGGACATTAGAGTGGATAATGGAGTGGTAGTACAGTGGACATTACAGTGGATGATGGAGCAGTATGCTGGACATTAGTGTGGATAATGGAGTGGTAGTACAGTGGACATTACAGTGGATGATGAAGCAGTATGCTGGACATTAGTGTGGAAAATTGAGTGGTAGTATAGTGGACATTACAGTGGATGATGGAGCAGTATGCTGGACATTAGAGTGGATGATGGAGCAAAAGGCTGCACATTAGAATAAATGATGGAGTAGTATGCTGGACACTAGTATGTATGAGGGAACCGTTCTTTAGACTGGAAAATTGAGTAGTATGTTGGACATTAAAATGGATGATGGGGCAGTATGCTGAAAATTAAAATTGGATGATAGAGCACTATGAAGAGCATTAGAGTGGATGATGGAGCACATAGTGGACATTAAACTAGATGATGGAGCAGTATGCTGGACACTAGTGAGGATAATGGAGTGGTACAGTGGACATTAGAGTGGATGAGGGAGCAGAGACAGAAGAGTAAATGTAACAGAGAAGTTATTGTTGAAGAGCAGAGAGTAGAAATAATAGCTTCAGATCAGTAAGTCTAAGGCCCCATTCACACCTAGGCGTATTGTAATATGCACGTCTGTCGCGCGACCGTCACGCGTTTTTTTTTACCGCGATTCGCGGTAAAAAAGTCTCGCGACCGTCGCGCGATTCCAAAGGCTACTTGGCTGTATCCCAATGGAAAACGCCCTACAAAACGGCCCAAAGTAGTCCTGGGACCTTTGCAGGCGTGGCCCGTTTTGTAGGGCGTTAGGGACGGGCGGAAATACGCCTAGGTGGGAACGAGGGCATTGACTACAATGCTATTTATTTTTTTGACCGTTTTGTAGCGCGTTCGTCGAGCGTAGGACACGCTACAAAACGGTCAGGTGTGAACGCAGCCTAAGTATTTAATAAACATAACACAATACAGCTGAAAGACAATGTATAAAGATTAGTTGCATACAACAAGCCAACAGCAGAAGCATAATATATTAACATCTATAAACAGCATAGTGATTCCATGCACTGGGGTACAACGTGAGGGCTTTCTGAAACATTCCAGTATAACACTATATTCATCCAAGTCACACTGCAAAGACCAACACCAGCAACAGAGGTGGGGGAGTGCAAAGCTCGGGGATACATGCTGTAAGTGACATAAAAGGTATTAAAGCACTGAGCAACCAAAAATACTATCGACTCACCTCATCATCTATCATATCCAGGCTCTTTATAGTATTGCAGCAAAGAAATGGTGGGAAAAATGATCATTCAAGAAAAAGAAGAGGAAATCAATGCACATGAATTAACTAACGGTCAATCTGGCTGTTTGTTTTCAGCCAAAGTATGGAAAATATTTAAAAAGGAAATGTCCTCTGTGGAACTTTACCAGTATCTTAGGCTACGTAACAATTCCAAATATCCAGTTCTTTCCTGACACCAAACATGGCAGCATACTGATGGGGAAAAGGGTTAATAGCATCTGGAGATCCCGTATGTTGCCATGTATTGGCATCAGAAAGGAAAATGACCGAAAGGTAATTATAAAATTTTCAATTTTCCTTAAACCAACATGGCAGCATACGGGACCATGTGTCTCCAGATGGTCTTAACCCCTTTCCCCATCAGTATGCTGCCATGTATTGGTGTCAGGAAAGGAAAATGAGCGATAGGTAAGTATACAATTTTCCATTTAAAAACACATCAATCAAGAGCTTTCAAATACAGTCACGCCTCAGGGCTATACCTGAGATACAATGTACATTACAACACAAAATACATGAATCTTGCTCCATGGTTAATCATGTTCCATGGTTAATCCCCAGATGTTCCCAAAGATAAGAGGAATGCTCTACAACCAGCATGAAAAAGAAAGAACCTTTATTCTGATTTTGTACCCTTGAACTTCTGCAGAGATTAACACTAATGATGGCAACAAATACTCAATCTATAATTTAAAGCCCTGATGAAGAGAACATGCTTGAAGTGACACTAAACTCGGGAGATAAATCTTAAAAATACATTCAGGTACCTTAACTATTAACAAAAATGTATCTTATTTGTGTATCACTCAGCTGTAGATCCTCAAATCATCTCTGAATTGGTGCTGACACTGTCCTTCCTTGTGGAGGGGGGCTACTTTTGTCCCCCATGGTCCTTGTGTGTGTTGTAAAGTAGTCACCGCTCCAAGCTCGCTCCTGTGATGGACTACAATCTCATGTTTAGTTTACTCATTTGTATTGAGATTGTAGTCCATCCCGGGAGCGAGCTTGGAGCGGTGACTACTTTACAACACACACAGGGACCATGGGGGACAAAAGTAGCCCCCCTCCAGAAGGAAGGACAGTGTCAGCACCAATTCAGAGATTATTTGAGGATCTACAGCTGAGTGATACACAAATAAGATACATTTAGCCCCCTTGTATCCCACTGATGCCCCCCTGCCCCTTTGGGCCATTATGCAGTACAAGCTGGAGTATATTCAAACATGTTCTATCCCTATTCCGCCACTGTGTGAATGATCCATACTGATGACTGATCTCTGTTCGCAGATCCAGTGACTGTTCTCAAACTGTTCAATCGAAGCTACTCAACTGTAACCAGTGTTCATTTATAGACTTGAAAAATTATGGCGCATTGCATTTTACACCAAATACACAATCTATAATTTAAAGCCCTGATGAAGAGGACATTCTTAAATCCCCAAGTGTGTTGGATAGATTTCAAGAATTGAATAAGACTTTTTGCTGTACCACACTTAAAGGAACCTGTCATGAGATGCCCCCCTTGAATCCCACTGATGCCCTCCTGCCCCTTTGTGTCTTAAGCAGCACAAGATGCACATGGAGTATATACAAACATGTCCTAGCCCTATTCCGCCACTGTGTGAATGATCCATACTGTTGACCAATATCTGTTCACAAATCCAGTGACTGCCTAATCACAACAGGGGAAATAATCCAGTTGCCTTAGATCAGTACAGGGAAAATGTATTTGCACATCTGCAATGGAAACAAATGGGTATTGGTCTCATTAGGACTTTGCTTTGTCTTCTGGTGTACCCAAACAGGTTGAGCTACATGGACATTTTTTACCCTTTATAGCCACACTTTGGGATGAAGCAGCATATTTATATTGCAATCATGTAACAGGAAATGGTGACGTCTTACCTCATCGGAGGACAATGCTAGAGAATGGGATCGCTCTGCCAACTTTATTTCTGCCACAAGGCCGCTCAGCTCTGCGGAACTGGTGCTGCTGGGGCTGAAATCATCGCTCAATGCGACATTCTACAAATACAAACCCAAGAGAACCGCATTACAATCCTGTTTTTAATACAGGTTAGTTTTAGGTTAGTAAAAGTACAAATTGGGGCCCTGGGGGCCACGTACCACCATACACGTTTCCCTGAGTTCCCAAGCTTGTGTATATATTGTAATTTCACAGCAGAGCTGTAGTTAAAATTCAGAGATCATCATAAAATTTAGTGGATTCCTTCATTGTAGCTTTCCTCTAAACACAGCATGTTTCTTTATTTGTATTATTAATCTTTACAGTATACTGTATATCTTATATATTTAAAAAAAAATTGTATGACTATTTTTAACTAATGTTTGATACTAATATTATTTTTATTCCAATTATATTTTTAATACGGATTAGGAAATTCTACAACCCCAGTTCCAAAAAAGTTGGGAATTGGGGTTGTAGGATTTCCTAATCCTACATGTTGCTGCCATCAAATTCAAAATGACCTTATTTTTTTTTTTAAATGCTACATTTTCTCAGTTTAAACATTTGATATGTTTTCTATTGTCTATTGTGAATAAAATATGGCTTTATGAGATTTGCAAATCATTGCATTCTGTTTTTATGAAGATTTTACACACGTCCCAACTTTTTGGGAATTGGGGTTGTATGAATTGACCTTAATGAATTAGGATTTTGCCTTCCACAATCGTTCAAAAAAACCAATTCATTATTAGAAAAGTAGAATGCATTTTTCTTTCTCTTAGGCCTCATTCACACAGCGCATGTTGCCCCGTACAGCCTGAAGGAACAGTTTTTCATGTGCCGGGAGCTGCAGGAAGAAGCGTGTGGGCAACTTCTGTAACTATGGAGACGCAGGAGCTGAGTGACCCTACACGCTGCTTCCCGCAGCTCCAAAATTTTGACAGCCGCACATAGATGATGTATGGCTTTGGATGCAGGCATGATGGATCCGGGTCTGTACGCCGTCTGTGTTCGGCTGTCAAAAATCAAATCAGTGGGAAGCAACTTGTGAGGGCGCACAGCTCCTGCGTCTCCATAGAGTTACATGAGCTGCCCACGCACTTCTTCACACAGCTCCGGGCATATGAAAAACCATCCCTTCATGCTGTATGGGGAAACACGTTGTGTGAATGAGGCCTTATATTTTTTTTGCACTGTAAATTCCATTGTTAAAAAACGTTTATCCAAATGATACTCATAATCTGATACATTATTGGCTACACATTGGCTATTTCTATAGCCCTCAACCCCTACACTGAATAAAGATGTATCTGGACTATCAGAAGCAGTGTGGTGCATCAATTCAGATACCTGCAGTTTGACGCCACAAACCAAGGAGACGGTGGCTATCCTCTCATATGTAGAAGCTGCCTGTCCAGAGGTCAGATCACCTATACCGACTCTTTCATATCCTGATTGGCCAGCCACATTAATAGGATACACCTTGCTGGTCCAGCGCTTATTCTTTCTAGCCGGTGCTTGCGGCTATCAGTATTTCTGAACAGTGACTGCAGTCACTATTCGGCCCATTAATTTCCACCGTTCTCCTTCATCAAAATTTGACTTTTGTCCATCCGGATAGTGTCAGTAGGGCCATCCATGGATAGAGTTTAAGCCAATTCAGCAGGAAATTCGATCCATGTATGGCTTCCCTTAGGCAGATGTTCTAATCCCTTCCCACTCTACTAAAAAAATGTACATTCACTGCTGACCCCCATCAAAGAAATAGCTCATCACGTACTGTCCTTGCAACACCCTGACACTGGGAAATAAAGTGAGGGAGCCCTTTTTAATGAGACTGGCTATTTGGGCAAGACCCCTTGTCACCTTTTTCTCTACCTGTCAGGATGGTACTTTCTGCATAGCATTAATGCCTTTGTAACGTAGCAGTTATGTGACGTCAATGCAATGTCAGGAAGAAAATTACTCCGGACATGCCTAAAATGTATAATTGGTGAACATTTTGTCCCCAGTTGGGTTGAAGCTAGAGCTGCAGCTAACGATTATTTTCAAAATCGATTAGTTAGCCGATTATTACGTTCGATTAATCGGTTAATCGGATAAACAATAAAATAACGTTTAAAAAATGGCTCCAGTGATGGGACTACTAGTTTGTATTGAGGTTGTAGTCCATCACAGGAGCAAGCTTGGAGCGGTGGAAGTAAAAAAGAAAAAAGATAGTGTGGTGTGCAATATAGTGAAATGGAAAGTGTAAAATTATACAGCAATGAATGCAGAATGGCACCGGCTATAGAGGACTACAAAACCCAGCAATAGTACATTATACAGCGCAATGCAGAATACCACCAGCTATAGAGGAATACAACAAATCCCACAAAATAGTACATAATAGCTGGCGGCATTCTGCATTGCGCTGTATAATGTACTATTGCTGGGTTTTGTAGTCCTCTATAGCTAGTGGTATTTAGCATTGTACCACTTTATAATGTATTATTGCTGGGATTTGTTGTACTCCTCTATAGCTGGTGTTATTCTGCATTGCACTGTATAATGTATTATTGCTGGGACTTGTAGTCCTCTATACAGCGCAATGCAGAATATCACCAGCTATAGAGGAGTACAACAAATCCCAGCAGTACATTATACATACATTGTATAATGTATTGCTGGGATTTGTATTCCCATGTAGAATATACAGCACAATGTACCATCAGCTATAGAGAAATACAAATCCCAGCAATACATTATAGAGCACCATGTGTGGGAAAGTGCAGTCTTCCAGCAACTTGCTTCTGAGATCGGACCTGTCTATCGGCGATTGTCATCCCCCCACACCTGCTCCTCCTTACTACATCTCCCCGCGTCCCTGTGCCGATCGTGGATGTGGATGGGCAGGAAATGTGAGGCGGGGAGGAGGTGCGGCGTGTGGAGCATGGATGTGAGCGGGTCTGGCAGTGGCGAGCGTGAGGAGGAGGTTGCGGCGCACAGCGCGTGGAGCTCTGAACAGGGACAACTGATTGGAAGCCGACAAGTTGACAACTTTTTCAATAATCGATTATGTCGATTAGTTGTTGCAGCCCTAGTTGAAGCCTGAATGGACACCATTAGCCTCCAATTGTAATGTAACCCATGTGTAACGGGTTCACTGGTGGATGGAATTTCATTGTGTTGATTGCTAGATGTTGTCTGGAACCCACAGTAACAATAAGGGCCCATTTCCTATTACAGGCCCTAAAACATACGGAGCAGTATGTCTTCATGTGAGCTGTCCATTACAAAACAAAAACCAGACACGGGTAAATACAGTAGGTGATCCCTTTGGGTATAGACATGTTAAAAGATGACAATGAATGCAATATTTGACAAGTATGACCGGCAAAGCCTGAATGCAGCTGTTGTGGAACCACATGATTCAGCAAGAGCTGGCAAGACATACTGGGATGTGTAGTTCCACAACAGCTATGAGAGGGGCGATTCACCCCCCCGCAGAGAGAGATAATATATTGAACAAAATACTGTACCAAGCGGCAAGGGTTGCGGGCTATGGCCGGCCAGAGAAAGAAGCACTGTGTGAGAGAAACAGCAGACAGATGGGACGAGTTAGACAAGTAATGAATGCAGAGACAGTGAGAGACAGGGAGGAGGTGACAGCATGCTGGGAAGAGAGCAGTCACAGAACACGTGCATAGCAGAACATACGTCATTGATATACGAGTCACAATTTAATGGAGAGAAAATTGCCGCAGCAGGAACATCATATTTAGCTGCTGTGCAAGGTGGAAACAGAACCCGCTTCTGATCGGCTATTTTTATGGCACTTTCAGACAACTACAAGACTGACATGTTGGATTTCTTCAGTACAGTACAACCCGATCTCAGGAACACATGGCACTTCAATGAGATTCTTAGCACGGGAGGAATGTGCACTGTTCAGACTGTGCTGAAAAGCAATGGATTTTAGAAGCTGAATTATTTTTTCCAGTAGTGCTAGCTAGCCTCTGAACCACATGACAGCACTATTAGTGTGAGGGTTATAGGGGGGGTTAGTGCAGACTGTAAAAAAAAAAAAAACATCATGTCACTTTGCTGCCAATAAACGAAATTTCGACCAGACTACCGAATCCAAATCCCGAAACGAATTCAATTGCGGACCCGAATCCGAAAAACGAAATAATGCAAAATCCGAATCAAAACGAAACTAAACAAATTTTTGGCTGGTGCACATGTCTATTAAACACATTGTATGTGTATATAAGTGTGTGTGTAGTATATGTGTGCATGTGTTTGTTTGTATGTATGACTGTGGCAGTGGATCTGTTGTAATAAATCCAGAAGGACCATTGCGAAGTGTCCTGTGTGGTTTATAACCACAGCTCTTTGCATGACTTCAGTGAGAATTCTGTCAATGGCGTAGGGGAGGTCCGAGCAGAGAAGAAGAACATATACCTTCCTCTCGATGCTGTCCTCTCCATCCGTGGAGCTGACGCTGTCTTGTACACGCGTTCTAGACGGTTTTTGTCTTTTGCTCTTCACAATCAGATGAGCCCGAGTTTTCAGAGCTTTAGAATCCAGTCTCTCTGTTTCCGGCACTGCTTCGTTGAAGTCTGCAAATTAAGTCATTATTTATAAAACCAATTTAACTTTTGTACAGGTTTCTAACCTAACACAGTCACATACTTAAAGAGAACCTGTCGCTTTTGAAATCTCAGTCTCTCACTTTTGAAAATGCCAGATAAGTCAGCTGGTTGAATATCTTCATTCTTTAAAGGATTATTGTAGTTGTAATCTTAGCTTTAGTATTGCAGCAGGCAGTGTGCTCCCAAATAACAGGTACATTGGGGTATCGTACATAAGCATAATTTGCAGGCAAGCAGCGACTTACAGGTCTCCCTTAGCAATGGAATCTTTTGGCTGAACAAGCACATGCTCTAGTGGCATAGACCTTCTCCAAGATGAAAATGGGGACAGGGGGGGGTCTAATTATAATTATGGCAAATTATACCTTACTACAAAACAGACAACACCTCCCCTGTCTTCATCCCAGAATAGGCTCTTACAAAGGCTGGGCAGCTGAATGTTGGCTTAATGCTCAAAAAAGCACATGTGTATTAATTATTTATGATATTTATAACTATTTTACACATTACACTATTGGTGATGTAAAGTGTTTTTTCAACTTACCGAACACGTCGTCGCCGTCGGCACTTTTCACTGCTCCTTCTGAAAACGTGTACAGAGTTAGTACATAATGGTGTTAGTAAACATAGCAGAATCATTGGTGTTCTGAAAAATGAAATCTCTAAGAAGCAGCACCAAAGGAGTCAGGCAACAGAGCTAAAGAAGGGGAATCGAGATGTACAAAGGGCAGAAGAGACAAGGGGGCGGCAGAACTGTAGACAGTAAAGCTAGCCATACAATAGTAGAATTGCGTTCAAATGTTTGCACAAAATTCTGAAAAATCGTTCCTCAGGGCATTCGATGAGTCAACTAACATCCTTTCAGAGCCCGTAAATATCTTGTCTAGACCTGTTACTTGAATCACAGAGGTATTAAACACCTGGGCTGAGCTGAACTTGAGTTCCTCCAAACCTGGAAGGAAGCTGTCAGAGTAGCCCCAATCAGCTGTGGCCAGGACATTTCCTGCCAGCAGCTGCACGTGAACAATATGGCCATATGTGGTCAATGACATTGTGATTGAGTCAGCACTGACAGCTCAGGTTTGGACTGAACCCTGGTTCGGTCCGAACTTGAGTTTGTCTGAACCTAGAAGGAAGCTGTCAGTGCAGGCCCAATCCCCAATCAGCTCCGGCCAGGACATTCCCTGCCCACAGCTCTATGTAAACACAAACCAGGATGCTGGTGACATAATTGACCTTATATTGCTTTTTATGGCCAAAAGTACATTTTTGGATAAACCTTTGTTTGTATTGTCCTTTCCTACATTCCTCTACCGGACATAATTGCTGAAACAAAAGACTGTTTCTGACTGTATCTAATTCCGGATGAAACTCTTCCTTGCACACACGCATTACTACAGTATATGCCTAATTTTACCCAAATGAGGACACTATCGCATCGAACGCTTTGAAAAAAGATCAGTTTTCAATGAAAATTCTAACCGTGTATGACTAGCCAGAGGTACAGTGGGTGAGAAACATAAAAAATACACTTTATACTGGAGCAAGAGAGAGGGGCTGGTATTGACTGAAGAACTAAAAAGAGGTCTCAAAAAACCAATCCCATTTTGCGTGTGACATTTTACAAGCTGATTCCCCCACTAACCCTGTTGATGGAATCTGGCCTTGCATGCAACATTGGGAGGCAAGCCAGAGCAGCAAAGCTAATGAGAGCATAAGCTGTCAGCGCTAAGCGGTCGTGCCTCCGAGAAGAGCCTTTTTTGTTTGTTCCAGGCCTTACCAATTGAAGTCTTTCAACTCCAGTTAGCCAGATTGTATTGACTTCAATGGTACGTGAAAGGAGGTCTTGCAGTAAAATGCAACGTTTGATCAAATTGGCCAGGCCCCCCTTCACCTTTACAAATATCTGGCTGTTAGTAGGTCTAAAATGTAGTAGTCAAGAAACAAGTTAGATTTATACAGCACCTACCTTACCCTCGTCTTCTGCATCACTGGATGTGCCACCACCGTCCTCCTGGGGAGGTTCCTGGGGAATGCAGAGCAGGCGAGAAGACAATCCAGTCCATTGCAGGAGTGCCTTCTCGCAAGGTTTCGGCTGCTCTGTAATGCCCAATACACCTATCTTGAGTATGATGATTTATTTGCCTAGGCGTCACAGGTGGAAGGCGGGGATGATTTAAGTATAAACCCAAACTTTTTTCTTTACACCTACTAACAGTAGGTGATTTATGAAGCGGCAGGGGGCCCATGGCAGGGTAAGCGGACCTTGCATTTTATTGCAAGGCCCATGGCAGGGTGAAGGCACAAAGTGAGATAGTTTGAGGAAAAAGAGCAAGATCTGAGAGTAGAGAACACAGGAAAGAAGAGCTAAGGAAACTGTAAAGAAGGCAAGGGATGGTGTTGAAGGGAAAGGAAGGACGGACGGAAGGACGGAAGGAAGGAAGGAAGGAAGGAAGGAAGGAAGGAAGGGAGGAAGGGAGGGAGGGAGGGAGGGAGGAAGGAAGGAAGAAAGGGGTAGGCCAGAGAAGAGAAAGGGGAGAGAAGAGAAATAAAATGAAGTGAAGGAAAAAAGAGAAGAAAAAGAAAAGAAAGGGGAAGAATAGTAAATAAGATTAATATGGGAAGAATAAGGAAGAGAAAGGGAAGAAAGGAAGGGCATGAGTGACCTGGAATTGGCAAGAATATGTATAAAGCTAAACTCCAGGTAGATATAAAAGACAACAAATGAATGCAGCATTGTATAAATATATTGTTACGTCTGGTTTTTGAATGCAAACGGTTTAAATACCTGAAATACTTTTTTAAGCCTCTTGCAATCCCTTATACACAAGAGCCCAGACTGGGGGAGGGAGAAGCAGCACCAGTAACCAGTCAGTTGTACTGCAGTACTCATGTGCTAACAAGGGACATGCTGATGGAAGGGGAAAGCAGGGAGACAGAGAGTTGAGCTGATCCGCTGCTTCTCCTTTTACTTTGCAATCAGATTGGGAGAGGGGAGACAGGTAAGTGTTACTAAACTGTAGCAAAGAAAAATCAGGTCTACTGGACTGTAAGACCGGCAGAGCTTTGTGTGGCAGAGCTGCGTGAATCTCACATCTGGATGGACAGAAAGACATTTCCTTTGGCAGGTAAAACAGCTCCCATATATCTATTTCATCCGTGTATTTATCTCTCTGCCTGGAGTTAAACTTCAACTGGGTTATAGAGGGAAAGAAGGAATAGATGTATGTTGGCAGAGTAGGTGATATAGATAATACAGTACAAAGGAGCTCAGAATGGGTGAACTGGAAATCGGAGGGACAAGAATGAAGGGAAGGAGGTCAGCTGTATGAAGGGCCAGAGAGGGACAACTCAACTTATCTACATCTAGAAACCAAACAAATCCATCACTTTGCTTTTATCAAAATGTTATTTCCTGCACAAGTAAAACCCTGTAAAAATTCACTGTACCGTTAAAATGTGGCCAGCACGCCTTGTAGAATCCCTAAATGATATCGTATTCCATTGAAAGTCACAAATACTATACAGCGCCAAGTGCCACTTTTGGCTTGAATTGTATGTGTAGGGAAAAAACCCCCAAAAAACATATTCAGTACCGTTCTGAAATACACGCACATTACTGTATATGCTATCCATCTAAAAATGCTACAAATGAAAAAAATCTGTTGATCCTACCAGAAATTCAGGGAGCTACTAAATTCCTGTTGTTACCTGACAACGTTGCCTCAACTGCACTGATATCTGAAGCAGTGTTGTCAGTCCTGGTTGACTTCTCTCCTGCTCCACTACAGAACACCTGCCCTTCACCATAACTCCTCCTTGTTTACATACTCAGAACGTCCACCTTTCCCAAAATAGCTGCCTGCTGATTCTTCTGATGAGTGTTACCTGCTTAGCAGCCAGTAGTGCCAGTGATGTCACATGTATGCATGAATACATTCACAAACTAGGGACAGATTGAGCTTCCCCTCATTAGCATACAATGCTTCTTGATCTTTAACCCTTTGTTAGGACAGGCATTGTTCACATCTGGTTTGCAACTGATAATGAGGTCTGCCAGCACAGTACGGACAGGGTTCATTATGTTAACGTTAACCTTCCCAGCCAGCCATTGAATTCCAGAGCAAAACTCAATACAGAGAGGAACTTTTCTTCCAGAATAGAGCATGTATTGTGCAAGCAGTAATTTTAAATAAAAATTAAGTTAAGTGAGAAAAATTGAACAAATATAAAATATTATATATAAAACAGGTGTTATCTCAACTGGCTGCAGAAGTGGAAATAACTTTAAAGCTCTGATTGGCTGAAGGGGGACATAAAGGCAGAGTGATTGACTGCCCCTCTTTTCTTTTTAACTACCGTCTTTTAATAACCAACACTACCCCAGATTTATTTCTGCATTAGGTGTAGACTAGCAGTGTCATTCTGATTCTAGGCCTTAGACTCCTAGATCCTACGCCACCTATCCTACTATGGCTGTGTCAGGCTTAGCGTTCGGCTTTGTGCCTCATCTGCTTTTGTCACCAGCTTGTGAATTCTCCAATATTTCTGTGAAGAGTCCAGATAGTATAACCACACAGGTTATGGTGAGGTGGCCCAAAGCACCTCAACTGAACCACTGCAAAGCACTATAGAGCTTTCTTAAAAATGGAAGGACTCTACATACTGTATCTCACATAACAAATACCCAAAATAAGGGGTTTATTCTTCACTTTAGAATAGTGGGCAGAGCTATGCAAATAATTCCTTTATGTTCCTGGGCCAACTGGTCATCCAGAACTGCTGGTTTATAGTATAGATACAGCCTAATATTATAGAGCCATTTATTCCAAACAGCTGTATCAAACATGTTAGCCATCATCACTGCAGTGCATGGAAACAATGGCTTCTATGGCGTGGGGCTTGAGGAGAAAAGAGAACAAGTCAATAGACAGGTTATGGTGAGGTGTGCCAAAAGGACCCCAAAAATTCTTCACTGAAGAATCCACAAGATGATGCCCAACGTAGTATTTCTGAGCCCTCTAGTTAAAGTGACACTAATCTCAGGAGTTAAATCGTAAAAATACATTCAAGTACCTTAACCATTAACAAAAATGTATCTTATTTGTGTATCACTCGGCTGTAGATCCTCAAATCATCTCTGAATTGGTGCTGACACTGTCCTTCCTTCTGGAGGGGGGCTACTTTTGTTCCCCATGATCCCTGTGTGTGTTGTAAAGTAGTCACCACTCCAAGTTCGCTCCCGAGTAAACTAAATATGATATTGTAGTCCATCACGGGAGCGAGCTTGGAACGGTGGCTACTTTACAACATACACAGGGACCATGGGGAACAAAAGCAGCCCCCCTCCAGAAGGAAGGACAGTGTCAGCACCAATTCAGAGATGATTTGAGGATCTACAGCTGAGTGATACACAAATAAGATACCTTTTTGTTATTTGTTAGGGTGCTTGAAAGTATTTTTAAGATTTAACTCCTGAGTTTAGTGTTACTTTAAGTCTATGTAGAAAAATATGTCGAATTCAGCCTGGTGACAACAGCAGTGCTGCCGAAATTCCAAATGCAGCTTATGAAGGCCATGCAG